AGAAAGTTAACACTTGATTACAAAAAAAAAAAAAAAAAAAATCATTATGAGAGAGATTTCTAGTCCACTTCTTGTTTCACTAATTCTTAACAGAAGGATAGTATTAAAGTGATTTTGTATATTTAGAAACTAAACCAGACTTTGGAGTTAATAGCAGAAACTGATGTTACAATACCAGGGTAAAATGCAAGGTCAGCAAAGAAAACTGATGGAAACTATTCTTTAGAACATAAGAAAGCAGGTTATATTTCATTAAAAAGCAAATTAAGCTAGCAGAAACCATTTCAGGCTCCGCACTGGGCATCAAACATCTACATTAGCCCTTCTGGGAAGATGTACATATACCCAAAATGGCTTGCAGTGCCCTAAGACAATGCATAGCTATGCAAGTTCAATATTGTAGCCAACTAATGCTTCACTGTTACAGGAAGTCAGAGAAATAATTATGTAATATGCCACTAACTAATGTAAGCTGTCCTGAAACCAGAAAGGGGTGGGGTTTTTTTGTTGTGTTTTTTTTTTTTTTTTTAATAAATCTGGATCCAATTTTCTTCATTAAAAAACTCCAGTCTTCTGGACTGTCCAGAGAACCCTGTATAACTATTTCAAGTGCTCCAAGTCTCATAACATGCCTGGGGGATTTCTTAGCATCTTATTGCATTTCTTTATACCTTTCCCAGCACAGCCGTTCAAGCCTTGAGAATGCAGTAATAACACAAAGCATTTGAAAATGCGAGAGAGGAAGGAAGACAGAAATCTGCCTTCCAACATACAACCATCTGTACAGTCCCTTAGATAAACAACAAAATGAAACATATCTTTTACTTGGAGACTGCACCTTCTCATACATACTCTATTTGAAACAGGGAGCCAGAACTGGCTACAGTGCCCCTGGATTAGTCAAAGAGCACAATCACCTGTGATTTGTTTTTGTTTAACCCAAAGCCCTCTTGCCATTACCTCACACACAAGGCTTTCAGAGAAAGAATATTAAGCTAAAGTTAAGTGAGTTTCCATTGCAAAACAAGATACAGATGTTCTACCTCTGAATACATGCCCAGATCAAGTGCTTGTTATTCGATATGAAGCACTGGGAATGCCAGACTGGTACAGAATGGCTCTGTTTCATGGCCTCTTCACCTCAGCGAGGACAACAGTCTCCCAAGAGTTTTCTGATGTCTCTAAGCTCATTAGGAAGAAAACAGTGATCTGAAAGCACTACTCATTAAGCTGGCCATTGCTGGCAACTGGCAGCAAATGTTTTGGAGGATGTCAGATGTATTCCCACTAAAAATCAGTATCAAGATGCTGAGTCAACAAGCCTCTGTAATTATTTCTTCCTTTCTACTGCACAATTACAGTAAATTGCTTGAAACACTAATAGTATTATCACTTCTCAATCATTGAAAACTAAATTGTCTCATTTGGAATTTTAGCTTTTACTGGTGATAACTCAAAAATTCACTTTTTTTTTTTTTAAATGCAACTTGTTAAAAAGGTCATGTCATTAAAATTGAGGTTTTCCTCCAAAAGCATCACTTAGAAATGAGATTTTATCACAGAGCATCATGAAAAGCTCAAAACTCATAATAATAGTGAGAGAATGCTCAAAAGGACACGAGTTAGCAGCATGGAATTAACTACCCTGAGAAAAGGAAATGACTTCTTCTGTGGTTCTAAGTTATGAACTCCCATTCAAAAACTCTCACCTCATCCTCGGTTATAATTTTTATGCTGGCTGGAACTGTCTTAATTACACACATGTGCAAAGTCTTCCATCATATTACAGAATCAAAGAGAGCTCAGGCTGGAAGTCATGTCTGGAGATCATCAAGTCCAAACCTCCTGCACAAAACCAGGGTCAACTAGGACAGTTTGCCGAGGGCCGCATCAGTTGAGTTTAGAATTATCTCCAAAGAAAGACTGCAAAAACTCTCTGGACAACATGTGCCAGTGTTTGACCATATATTATAAATAAACTTAAAAATATATCTTACGTTTGAAAAAATTGTCAACTCCAGCTAGGAGTACAAAGTGCTCCTAGAGAAACCTCAACTCCTTTTTGGGGTTAACGGCAGAATTTATAGATCTGCTGTTTTCCCCCCAACTCACAAAAAGCCAATGTTCTGTCCATAAAGCAGATCCCATCTATATTAGTCATCATTATGCCCTCTTCCCGTAAACCTCCACTGAGTAAGGCAAAATGAGAAATATGTTTTATGAACTGAATGGCACTCTGTGAATCAATGGTCTCATACTCGTCGGAGTGTGATCATGACACTATTTCTTATGAATAGAATGAAATTGAGACAAATTCTGAGGTTTCTTGCACCTATCAGTCAAAGACGACTAACCAAATGCTGACATTAACTCAGTAATCTAAACTTGCAGACTACATATTGCTATCTGGAATTCTCGCTGGGCAAAACCAAGGAGGACTCCTCATGCTATGCAAATTATGCACTTCCATTCCATGTTGAACTAAAGAATTGTCAAGGGCACACAATGAAAGAACTTTTCCCATTTCTTAAACATCAGGGCATCTCTTACATATGAGTTACAGTTACGAATCAATGGCACACAGTTCCAGTGGCTTGTGACTGGAGGTGGAAGTTTAAAGTAGAGTAAACATTATAAAATGACAATAGTACATTTCACCAGCAAACTATTCTCTCAACAAGGAGCAGCAAGAGCTTCAGGAGAGAATCTAAAGGAATAAGGAAGTCATCTCGCTTATTTCCTGTAGAATATAGGTATATATATATATATATAATATGAATCCAGATAAGACATATAATTCTTTTCACTGAAATTTCAAACCTGTTTTCACAGAATATTTGTGTCAGCAAAAGTACTTTTTAGGAAGACATCTACTTATAAGCAGTTCAAGTATGACCTTCAATAAATCCTAATTAATTGAGTCTGAAAGGGCACTTTGTTCTCAATATACTTACTACTACAGCAGTGTCCTTGAAAATACAAGATCCATCACAGCTGATACAACTCTTACAAAATAAATACCATGGCAGAAGAAGATCTGTAGGCATCTCTGAAACACCCTTAGAGTTCAGTGCAGATGTTGTCAGTGACTGTTTATACTTTTTAAACCACTGGGATATAAACACCTCACTATAAACACCACTGAATTTTTGCTTTTTTTTTTTTTTTCCTCATTTTTTGTGTGTTTACTTTAGTGTTAAAAATGTTAACTTCCATAATAAGGAAAACAGCAACAGATGTTTAAGCTAAACAAAGACTGCTTATAGTAGAGTACTTTGAGTAGCTTTTAACTTCTAAACCTAAGATCTATTCAAATAATAATTAACAGAGAAAAGGGTGGAAAAAGGGATCTGGAAAAAATCACCCATTAAAATTAGGCACAATTCTAACAAATTGAACTAGTGAGCCAAAACTAGTTTTTCTGCCTTAGTCAACAAAACATTCAGGAACGTGTACTATGTAAGTAGAATTTCAAGCAAACTTCATGGTCTTCATCAGAAGTTGTCACTGGCCTCCAAACAAAGCACTGCTTACTACAGAGAGCAATGAAAAGTTAAAGGATCCTTCAAGTTGTCTTTTCTTAATTAGTCCTCTAACTATAATGAAGAAAACACAGGTAGGAAAGAACTTGAAAGTTCAACTAGTCTTGCACTATCTCAATTCTGGATTACTCAGTACTGATACGAATGCTCAATCTTCTTTAAAACAGCTTTATTCAAGCAAATATCTCCATATTTGAGCAGGAAAGAAGAAGAAAGAACAACAACAACAACAAAAGAATCAAATATTATCAGTTCTATAGGGAACTCCTCCATTTCCCAAAGAAAAGAAACGTGTCCATTCTGATTTAATGGTAGAAAAGATGTTATTTTCCAAAGAGAAGCTCAGCTCTCTGACTTCTGGCCTAGTCCTTTTTTTGAACATATGAATAGGTCTATTCCTATTTTCTATTCCTATGTGTATTCCTTATTGTTTCTTCCCTAACAACTACAGCAAGTTTATTTTCCAAATGAACACGGAAAATGTTCCTGCTGAATCAGAAGAAAGATTTCTGCAAGGCTTGTGTGTGGCTACAGCAAAAACAGTTCTATTGCCAAGCCGAATTAGCTCTGTGGTGCCTTTCTTTCCAGTCAAAGCCAAGCCATAACCACTTCTTCAAACTGCACGTAGATAAAACTCCACTAAGATTAAGAAACTTATTTTACTCTATTACCTCAGGCAACTTCAAAACAGGACTATTAATGCTTACAAAATGAAGAGCAAATGCCAACCTACATTAGCTGGAGACAGCATAGGTAAAATTCAGAGTCCAGCAGAAAGAAAAAAATTACATTTTCCAACTAGTTGTGTAATTCTTTCCACAGGGGACGGGAGCGTGGGGTGGTTCTTGGGAAAGGAGGGGTGTGCGCGATGGAGGAGGGGGAGGCATCTCGCAGCCAGGGCTTTCTCTGAGCTGTGCAGGAAATGAGAAGTCAAACAATGGGCTACTCTGTGCTCTGCAGCACGGCGCCTCTGTGAGCCCCACGGTTGTGCTCTCAAACTCTTCATTGTTCGCGACCCAACTGCCGAAGCGATGTAAAAATTATTTCGAGCTACACTGTATAAAAGCGTCTCCCCCTGAAAGTGGCGGTGCCTAACTGCTAGGTAGGATTGCGAGCAGAAATGTAAATTAATACCTACTCCCATTTTACAAACTATTTCCTTTGCAGCTGCGGACATTACCAACAAACACTCTGCATAGCAGTCGCAGAAGCAACACAGTCCTTTAAACAAATCCAATTACTGTTATCTTCAAGAAAAAAAAAATACAGGAAAAAAAAATTATGTGAAAAGGAAAAAAAAAAAAAAATGTCCTTCCCTTAAACAAAGCCATACTAACAACACAGACCGTGAGGTATCTTAAAGCCAACTGCAGAGATCTCCTTTCAGGAGGAAAATCCATGCTTACAAACAACATAAAACACACCCGACAAAAGAGCTTTGTGAAATGAAAGCATTACCTTCGTAGCACAGAATGCCAATATTGTTGTTCATCTTGTCCAAGTATTGGTAGTTCAACAGGTCCATCTTCATAAATAGCATTTATCGGGCTAGCAAAAAAGACCAGCTTGTTTGCTTTCACCCAGATTCAGGGAGAAGGAAGCCAGGCAAATGGTGTTGAGGACGCTCCCGGCCCCCGAAACTTCACTAGCACAAGGCCCAGCCTTCGCTAATCAAAACAAAGTATATTAAAGGAAAGTTGGAGGGATTAAAACACACAGACTCCCTTCCAAACTTTGCAAACTAAAAGTATATTGCGTCCTTCGGTACAAAGAAAACTGTCTGAAAACTTTTCAAGTCTTTTTTCAAATTAGAAAAAAAAAAAAAAAAAAAAGCAGACAAGGGAAATTTCCTAGGACAAAGACACACCAGTTCTCCTCACAGCCCGCTGCAAGTTAACTGCACTGACATGCAGGCTATGCTTGGTATGACTCGTATGTAAACCAGCTTCCTCTCTCTATCAGGCGGGGAGGACTGAGCATGCTCAGTGAATCCCTGGAGCTCTTCAAATGTCAGGGATATTTTCTGTACAAGATCAGGCTCTAAATGCACTGAGTGTTTGAAAGAAAGAGAAGGAGGAGGTGGAGAGCCTGCACAGAAGGGGCCTGTGCAGCAGGGGCCATGTCAGAGCCGCCCTGACAGGAAGCAGCGCTGCCACAGCGAGCGAGAAGCGAGGGCGGCAGGGCCGCCGGGAGGCCTCCATGCGGGCAGCAGCCTGACTGCCGCACCACCACTGCACGGCCGGCCATCTCCAAACATTCGTTAGCTCTCTTATTTCCCAGTGCGGCCTCAGACGGTGCCCTGTACCGTTGCAGTGAAAAAGAATGCTATGTAAGAGTGGCAGAGCAGAACGGCAGCTGTGGTCTGACACGGGCAGCCGGTGAGGGAAACGTGACGCTGAGGATTTATTTACCTGTGTGCACGGGTACTGCGCGCTCACACAGACTGCTGCCATTCCATAGTACATCACTACGTTTGATTCCTTTCGGGTATATTTGTAGTCAAAAATTCTGTTTGGATTGTTAGCATGAAGCGGCTACAGCAGTTGTTCCCATCCCAGGATGCCGTCAGCCCTTCTGCAGTTCTAACCTTGACCACAAAGGCTGGCGCTGCTTGTACAGATGTGCGTGACTCATGCAGGGAGGGCAGGACATCTGCATGGAGGCAAGCATGTGCTAACCTAGCAGGCATCAGCTTGCACTTCCTGTGGCTAATCAACACCTGAAGGCTGATTTGACAGAAATAGAGAGATCAAACTTCTCTTGAATTTATTTAAGACAAACAAAAAGGCTAATGGAGTCCTAATCTGGCTTCTGCCTCTCTCTCCTCTTTGAATTGGACGGTAATTCTTCCCTGGCTTCCTGGGAAGGAGAATTTTAATGGTACACAGGAGAGCACACAGTGATAATCAATAACAAACTTTAATTTCCACTTTGGGAATTCCTCTGCTTTGTTAGTGCATTACAGAAGCATTTTGCCACGGCATTTTGAAAAGTACTACTTGAACACTATGGCTATTTCAAGGAGACTAGGCAATGTGAGTGACGTTACTACTGATAAATACGAGTAAGAAATTTATCTCCAAGGAAGATTCTCCAGAGCTCAAATAAGGTTTCTCAAAGATGAGAAACAGCCCTGCGATCTATCTACCTACATTCTTCATTTGAAGGAGGATGTCCACTGAAGAATGCTGAATTTAATACTTTGGGAAATAAGAAGAGAGAAGCATTTGATTTTTCCACTTCAAAATACTTAAAATTTTAACAGGAACTGGAGATGGTGAAGAAGGAAAGTAATATTCTAAACTTTAGAGTAGTAGTCTGCATACAATGTTTTAGCTATACAAGGACAATGGAGTTCAAAGTCCAGTGTAAATTTCCCTCTATATTCAAATATAACTTTTTCTTCAAATTGTTTGGAAAAGCAGTATTGTATAATGCCTATAAATCACTAACTGCTCTGTATCACTATCCATAAACTAATAAGGAATGCTTACTCATCATATCAGTACCACTGGTCTGCAGATTTTTAGACAATGATGATCATTCTGTATAAATTGCTTCAGCATATGCTATGATTAACACTTGTCAATTTTCAAAGAAAGAACTTAAGATGCTTCATGTTAGCTGGTACCAAACACTGGAAGTTTTATGAATTTCTCAAATAAAATATTGAAAGTAAAAGAAAACCTTGTGAAAGAATAGGGAAGAAAAAATATAAACATAAATGTATCTCAAGCATTCCAAAACCAAAAGTTCAGCAGGTGTTAGCCTTAACTACCAACAGGCTTCCCGTAAAGCATTGAGTCCATTCTCAAAAGCACAGAATTATCAACTACTCTATTCAAACTGCCATTCGTCACACACTTCACCAGTCTGAGATACCTTTCACTGAGCTGAAATCAATCAGTGCTGGTTAGATGTGACATACGTAGTTATTAACATCACCCCAGGATAGTTCTTACTTCTTTTTCCATAAATTGATAGTTGCTACCACAGTTACATGCCGTACTCTCTCTATCTGATATTATTTAAAGCACTTTTCTTAGAATTGCATGCTCTTTTATTCCATAAGGCAGATAAATACCCAAAGCTATATATAGTATGGTTAGTACAAGGGAACTTTTAACACAACAGCATCCCCTAGAGGTAACTGAAAATCCACATAACATCTTTCTGAATCACTCTGGACTTCACATCTAAGTACATCAAATTTGACTCTAATTAACCCACATAAACAGATGAGATAGTTCAACCTCTTTGTGATCTTCAAATTCACTTTTAATAGAGAAAGCAAAGACAGCCTTCATGTAGGAATGCCTTTCCATGGAAGTATTCTGAGGCAAGGAAAACAAAACCAAAGTGGTTCTATAAAGTAGGTAAATCACAGTTATCAAAACGAGGGGACCAAATACACACTTTGACTGCATTAGGGTGGAGTTAGACACAATTGCCTTTTCTACAAGAAAACAAAACTTTCCCTCTTGCAGAATACAACAGTACATCTACAGAAGCAGCTGGCACAGTGTACTCAGCATCTAAATTCCATATACCTTCTCTGAACTAGCTTATGTTTGGTTAAATGGACCAATGCCCGTTAGCAGCTGGAACACATAAGGAGCACTCTTGGTGAGCCTCCATCAGCTTCTCATCTGAACGGAATCTAGCTTATGGCCAAGACCACTCCAACGCAGACCAGGGAAGGACAATCAGGAGATACATTGTGAAAGCAAATGCTTGACCCAGCAAGAACACCGGTACTGACATAACCCGGGTGACTAATGATGATGAACAGAAGAAAGCATTTTTCAGATTTAAAAAAACTGTGTCAAACATGCCCTTTCAACAACATACAGTGCACATACATTATTGAGTCACTTACTGGTTCCTGAATACCGGTGGAACTCTTCCACTATAAAAATATATAAATCTCATTTATTTAAGCAATAACAGGGATCTTATTAAAAAGTTAATCAGTACTTGTGTATCGATTGCCTGAATGTAGGAAAAATTGGCAATTCCTGCATTTATCAAATCCATAATACTAGATTTGACAGTAAGAGTTCATATGTTTTTACAGCATTTAAAAATATAGAGCTGCTTCAGAACAAACAGTTTCAAGAAGCTACCTACAATAGAGCATCCTCATCTGCCTTCTCTCTCATGTCCTCAAGCCTGACCAATCCTCTACCTCTCTGCCATGGTTTTCCCCTCCTGCCTGCCTCCTCACTCTCTTCTCTCATTCTTGCTACTGTCTTAGGCAGTAGCACTGAAGAGCCCACAAAAACAGCTTTGGTTCACACTCCATGCCACACACCATCTTTCAATGGAAAAATACACAGCACTCGTTAAGAATCAACACTGTAGAAGAAAGATCTGCAATCTGCTCTTGGACACATGACTCAGATTTCATTCTTGATGATCATCAGCACAGAGCGCCATTCTGACAGTGACCAATTTTGCAACTAAGAGAAAAAAATATAGTCTTAATAGAAGAGTTACTAACTGATGTAGAAGACCAGGCAGTATTGCCCCATTTGACTCCCATTTCTGCATGGACAACAATAGATATTACAGCAACTGAGGTAGGGAAGGCTTTTATGATCTATCACCTAGTTGATATGTCAACTTATGAAAGAGTTTGGAAGAGTAAAGTGAGAGTACTTCAGATACAGGTTCTACCTTTCCCTTTCAACTGAAAGAGATTTTAGTTAGCAGCTGCTAGGTGGCGATGTGCCTGAAGGAAAACAATAACACCAGTCCTTTTCCTGATACTCAGTTGCAGACTTGCTCCATTATCACCAGCATTTTTAAATGTAGTTACAATATATTTTACAGGAAAAAAAAAAAAATTCTCTTCTAAGCAAGATGCAGCATGTGCTTTTGAATACTCTCAGATACAATAAAAAGAGCTAACACGTATGAAACACGCAGGAAATTCAGAGCTAGACGACAAGAAAGCTGCTTGCAGAAAGCATTATTTATCTCCTACTCCGGGATAAACTCACTTTACTGTTGTACCATACAGTGAAGTAAGGCAAAAGTTTGAGGGTGGAAGAAGTGGGGGTAAATACAGGCAACTGAGCATTCGCAGCAAATCTCACTTTATTTCCTAGCAGCACCCAGCTCTCAGGATCAAAATAGAAAACAGGCACAGGAGGCAGTACATGATGCCACTGGCAGCAGTTGCTGCTTCAGCATGTACCTCTCATGTCCAGAAAAAAGTAGCTGGCAATTCAGGCAGCAACCCACTTTGCTTCCATCAATTGGATCACACTGACCCAGGACTTCAGCCAGCTACATCTTTGTGACCTGATCTCTTACTGCGGCACAAATTCTATTATGTCTGCTTGTTCCAAAGCTTGTAGTTTTTCTACAAGTGTTCTAGTGAATGGTAAGTAGCAATATGCAAAGTACACATTCTGCTGATTGTTCTAATACTAAATATCTATTTTACAGTTGTAGAGAACTGCAGGACAGTGGAGGTGATGAATGAGGTTTTTGGTTCCATGGTCTACATGTATTCACTAGCACCTGATTTATCTTGACTTCATTCTTTGACTACTTGTTCTAACAGAACAGCAGAGATCAGATTTACAAAAAATATTCCTCATTTCCACACACTACCTTGCTACTCACAATTTACTGGTGTGTTTTTTATTCTCCTAAGCTGGGTTAAAAACACTTCAAAATGCAGATAGAATACATAACAGATAAATCTTGTTTATCTAGGTTGGAAAATTGTTAGTTGCTAATTAAAATCTTGATAATCTTTCCTGTTATTTGCATACTAATTTGAATTTCTGAAGGGTTGATGATAATCAGAAAC